AGCTTCAACAATCATTTCAACATCATCATTGTTCAAAAGTTTAAACGCTGTATAAGTTAATGGCAACAATGATGTTGGAAATCTGTACTGCAACGACGACATTCTTCTACTACTTCCAACATGAATCTTCCTCGAAATCTTCGTTATCATCTCCTCAAGAGTTATATTTCTCTTCAATGATATTTTAACACGCTCATTTGATACGAAAACAACGTCGGTTTCATCTTCTCTAATTTCACCATCATAATAAACAATAACGTGTCATTCTTTGAGTTTAAAAGTGCGGCAATATTATATCTGTAAAAAAATAACTGAAACAATGTTGATAAAATAAATAATATATGAACGAAAATATAACAGAATAAAATTTTTACACATAAACGTAAATAATTTAAATAATATAATTTTATATTATTACATGTACCACAAAACTATTTCGATGTATATTCCCGCTTTCTAATTTTACAAACACATAAATTAATTGACAACAATTAGTATAATATATTTTTTCAAATAATCATAATAAACAATAAGTATAATAAAAAAATTTATCACAAAATTACCTTATAACGAAAAATCGCACGAATTTCTAAATCAAATATGAGATAGTTGCCAGAATTATTAACTCGTTGATGGAATTGTTGTATTAATTTATAAGTTCAAAGGAGAGATGTGAGGAACTTAACCGGGGGAGAAGGGTATTTATAGCCGAGAAAAGTTGCTATAATTATACAAGGTGCGGTAGTTGCACCGCGCCTTATATAATTATATCAGTTAAAGGTATGGCGCGGCCCCTGCCCCGCGCTATATATAATTATGTCAGAGATTTAAAGGTAAGGCGCGGCCCCTGACCCGCGCTATACCCTACGTGGCATAAGACGCGCTCCAAGGGTCGCGCTATACCCACATGTAGTCCATGTCAGCATATAGCGTGGTTCAGGGGGGCGCCTTACCCCACGTAGCGCCAAATCAGCATATAGCGCGGTGCAGGGGGCACGCTTTATGCAAAGGGTGTTAGATCGAGAAATATAGTCTAAACGGTGTTAGATCGATAAATATACCGGTCACAGATTATTTTTCAGGAAAAATGCCGAAATACACTAAAAATGTTGCAGTAAGTTAATAATTTATAGAGTATATGGTTAAAAAATTTCACTTATATATTTCAATATTTTAAATACAATATTCCAATAGCTTTTTATTAAGGTACGTACTCATAACTTAAAATTGTTTTGGTATAATGTTTGATTAAATAATAATTTTAATTTATGCTTTTTTACTGATAATTTAGTCTTACATTTCATTTTGAGATAATTTTTTTTCATGAATGGAAGAGGGTAGTCAACAAATTATCAGCACCATCAAATAGGGATTTTTTTGTTCTAAAATGAAATTTCAGAGGTTAAAATGTTAAAAAAAAAAAGAAAAAAAAGTTAGAGTGACTATTAATCAAACGTTAGAGGTCATTTTCCATTAAAATAAAACTTTATGAGCTAAAATGTTTTAAAAGAATAAAAGTCAAAATGACTATTTAATCAAACGATAAAAAATATTTTTGACATTAAGTCAATTGTTTTTTAAGAGTATGAGATATGATGCTTCAATCTTTCTTGTTTTGATTAATCTGAGATGATTTTAAGGTAGTATTCAGGGACGGAGTCAAAATTGAATCATGAGGGAGGCAAATTGTTTAACTTTAAAATAAATAGGTCTTAAAAAATAATTAAACCGTAAAAGCTAAGAGATCAAGGGTTTAGTTTCACTAAATTTAAAATTCAAAGGTCTTAAAAAGTAATTAAACCATATAAATTCGAGGTAAAGGTTTAATTCCATTAATTTTAAAACTAATAATGTCCTAAAAAATAATTATACCAACAAATTTCGGAAAGGAAAAAAGCTTAATTATAATAGTTTCAAAACTATCACTGACCTAAAATATAATTAGACCATTGTTCCTCCCATTTATAACGTACATTCATCTTTAATAATATATGTGTGGAAGACTCAACTATTTTACAATAAATGTTTAAAAATCCATACAGACAATGTCATTTAACTACCGATTTTGTTTGATCCTCGCTTTAAACTTAAATTAAATACGTTTAAAAATGTTAAAAATTAAAGGGTAAAGTATAGTAATGGTCATTGAACATTTCTGAAGCTTACATTTAGGTCCCCTAACTTTTAAAACTTACAATATAGTCCCCTAACATTTAATCCATTTGCAATATGGTCCCCGCGCACCTATGAAAATTAGGGTAAATTATATAAATGGTCACTAAACTTTTTAGGTACTTGAATTTAGGTCCCCCAGCTTTTAAAACTTACAAAACAATCCTCAATTTTATTCTAAACCACAAATTCCAAAGTAATTCAATTTTATTCTAAACCCTAAATTCTAAAATAATTCAATTACATTCTAAAACCCAAATTCTAAAATATTTTAATTTCTGTCTTTTTTATAAACGACGCCAATGTCACTAAATTATTAATTAATTTACTTTTTATATTTAAAAACATATGATATTTTTTAAATATTAATTTAAAGACATGAAAATTTTTCAATAGTAAGAATATATGATAATAATTCATTTATTTATAAATAAATATATTTCTAATTATTTGTGTATGTTTTTATATCTAATCATATGTGTTAATATATTTTATATCTTTCATATAAATATTAAGACTACATAAATAGTAGAGTCAAAATTTTATATATGAGTTATGTTAATTATAGTAATGATGTATAAATATATTTTATTTTTATATTATTTCTATTATAATTAAAATATAAATATTACCATGATAATTAAATATTTATTTACTTATTACATCGAATATTTTTTGTAGAAAAATTATTTAATAAAATCATAAAATACACAATAAAAAATAAACACTGAAGTTGACTACTTCAAAAATAAAATAAAAAAAATCAATAATTTAATATAATATACCCTAAGTTGATGATAACAATCAACTCAAAAGAGATGGGGTTTGTGCTATGTTTTCGTAACGTACGTAAACTTTCTATTTCATTGTCTTATATTCTTTTAGTTCTAGCACGATCTATTTTTTAATTTTCTAATACACTTAACAAAATTATATTATAACTCGTTAAGTGGTTTCATAGGTAAAAAATGTTATTTTCTTTAAAAGTTTTAAATTCAAACAATTGTGTTTGTAGGGTATATCTATATTATTAATAAATTAAAAATTTTGAATAAATACTATCTTATAATCACATCAAACTATTAAAAAACTAAATTATAATTGAAATAAATAAAAATTATAAGGATGTCAATTGGGGATTTTGATTCTTAATTTTTTCATTGAGAGATTGTGCTTTTTTTTATTCAATTTCTTCCATAATCATTTTTTTATATTTAAATTATTGAAGGTCGCTAAATTTACATTTACGAGGAGAGAGTTTATTTTTTTCTTCACAAAAGTAAAGAAATCAAAACGCTATCACGTTCTTAAAGATAATCTAGTATATTCCTCCTTAAATTGAAATATTTTAGAATTTGGGTTTTAGAATGTAATTGAATTATTTTGAAATTTAGGGTTTAGAATGAAATTGAATTACTTTGGAATTTGGGGTTTATAATGAAATTGAGGAATGTTTTGTAAGTTTTAAAAAGTTAGGGGACCTAAATTCAAGTACCTGAAAAGTTCAGTGACCATTTATATAATTTACCCTAATTTTCATAGGTGCGGGACCATATTGCAAGTGGATTAAATGTTGGGGGACTGTATTACAAGTTTTAAAAGTTGAGGGACCTAAATGCAAGCTTCAGAAATGTTCAGTGACCATTACTATACTTTACCCAAAATTAAACATACTTTTGTTGGATATATATTTATATATGAAACTAACATTAAAATCCGAATAATGTACCATCTCTCTTGGAGAAAGCCCCGGAAGAGGTTACATTTTAGAGATAAGATCATTGTCCACTGCATTTACTGTGCTTACCAGAAATTTTGAATCCCCCCAAGTCCTTTACCTAGATGGATATATGAGCAGGAAGAGCAACAGGTTTTTGTAAAATTAATAGATGCAATAATATTTGGAAGACTTGTCGGTGGAGCCTATACATCCACTGAGAAAATATACACATACATATATGATTATAGGTTCATAAATCATCCAACCATAATCTCTGGGCTGCATTTATGAATTCTTGAAACCATGATACCCCTCTCGACCAAAAGGGAAATAAAATGTCCTGAAAGCCTCAAATTCCAAGACTTCAATTTTATTTGGATAAGAGAGGGGAGTATCATATAAAAGTATGCATCGGACCGTTTGCCGGAAAGTTCGTTTATTTATTAAACGAATAAACATAAACAAGATTTTTTTTGTTCGTTAAATAAAAGTATACATTTCTTAAGGAACAAACACGAACAAGAAATTATGTTCATTTAGTTGATCTTGTTCATTCGTTTGTTCAATTAAAGTTAAACGAATGAATATGAATATACCTTGTTCGGTTCGTTTATGGCATATATGAACTACATCGGTTGTGAATGTATATCAGCTGAGTGGAGCATGATATCAGGCATGGTCTAGGGTAGCACAAAGTTCACACAATTCTCAATAATGTTAGTAATATCCTTTAATTGAAAAGCCTTTGAAGCAGTGATGCCATAAATAGGTGGTCCAGAAGAAATCCTTGCATTTGGTCCCCCTTCTTCAATTTAATGAAATCTCAATTGTCAAGTACCAGAGCAGTGGCTTGAACCTTAATTACTGGCCACAATAGGTTGCAAGATTGAGAACTTGTAACCAACCTATATAATAATCTTTGACAAATTCCACCTACAACACTTAATGAATCATATGCTACAAAGAGAAGAATGAGGATATCTTAAACATTTTCACAGTAAGCCATAGAAGCTTTTCTTTCTCCGAAACACTTGGAAACAAAGAAAAGAAAGCTTAAATAAAAGACGAAGATAATAGCAGAAAGGAGAATATGAACTTGATCAGTTGAAATTCCAACAAATAAATTTGTTTTCTCAGCATCATTTGCCGAAACTGGGGAAGAATAAAATGCATCTTCTAGCAACAACAAAAGAAAAAAAGTTACAGTAGAGAAGTGCCACAAATGACCACCACTGCGTAAATGCTGAAATCTGTGAAAAGTGCTCGGATTGTCCGATAGGTCACTAACCCTCTCTCCAAAAGGATAACTGTTACATCCCAGTTTTCTTTATCATCTTGAGATGCTGCAGGTTTCTCTTCCTCAGCCTCCCCAGAGACTCCTTTCCTGTCCAGAAACAGTCGGCTGAGCGCAGTGGTGAAATCGGTCAGTAAGATTATGTAAAGAGGCTTTGAGGATACGTTGCTATCAACCGTGCCTATCCTAAGTCCAAGCAAGAGAAAATTATGAGAAAGTACACAAAATGCTATCACTTGGGCACATAAACTGCGTGCTCTTTCAGAGGCTATAATGCAGGAATTCAGTAGTTTTGAAGAAAATAAAGTAGCTTGATTCCTGCTTGTTTTTTGGAGTGATTCAGTGTTGGTTGATGCTTTTCGTTTCGCGAGAGGAAGTCTCGTGTTTATCGGTCCCCTTGTTCAGTAATTCAGCTTGGCTCCCAATATCTAGGGAGTTTGCACTTGATATTTCATGCATGCCACCTTGTTTAAGAGTACTAGAAGTAGAGGCTTCACTCAGTCCCACGGGTGCAGCTGCAAAATTCAAATAGAAGTAATGAAAGTGTGATGTTATCCATCTTCCATATAACATAAAAAAATTATGCTACTGAATACTGATATTCGAATTCAAAATTCATCACTTTCGTGGATTTTTTTTTTCCAAATCAGTTGTCATTCCAGGTTCTACAAGATTCATTGGGGAAAGGTTGATGACAATGTTGTACCCAAGAGAATGTATTAAAGTTTCAACTTCAGTCCATGAACTAATCAAAGATGATTGGAATTGGTATTAAGTTGTAAAATTTCAACAGATATACATGGCATGAACTAACCTTAAAGATGATACAGCAGTATTGCTCTAAAACTGTACCAGAAGCATTCAAAATTGTATAATTTCAAACAGGTCTTCTGAAATAATTAACAATGGCGATAAAAACCAGTTATAAAAAACAAATTCTGTAATAGTAATCGATACCAAGCGATGAGTCAGTTCATGTTAAAGCAACGCTATGCTCTTAGAATGTTACACTACCTGCAGGGAACGGCAACGACGATTAGCTATAACTCGAACAAATCAGTTTAACACTTGAATCAAAATGAGTAACTATCATCAGAATCTGAAAAAAGAAGAAATCTATACAAGTAGGTGTATACAGAGCCAAGAACAACCTCTTATAGATATGGTTCTTTCTCATGAAAAATTGACGTTGCAATATCAAAACATATTAGACTAACAAAAGGTGCCAATTTCATCATGAAGGAATTAAGCATTACACACATTTCGTACCACTAATATCATGAGATTGATTGGTTTCCGGTGACTGATCATCATCGTCGCTGAAGAATACCTTACGATCTCGAGCATCGAAGCTTTCTTTCTTTACATCTGTCAGAAAACATGTTACTAAGCCTATAAGCAGCGCCTCCCATTGTTTTCATTTCATGTTCTTTAAGATTCAATGATTAGCATTTAAGATGATACATGGACAAATTTGACATGAAGCAGGCTCCATTGACAAATTTGAGGTTGTTTAGAAGATTTCAGGGCTATTAATCTAAAACTAAGAATCATAAACAAAAATCCAGTCTCCAAACTTTCAGAATTAGCTGAAATATGGATCTAATTACCAATGGGAACCCATCAAAGATGAGAAGCCATTAAGCAAACAAAGAGGTTACCGCTAGATGATGGAGTGGGATGATGTTCTCGGGATTGTGGACGTGCGGACCGGATCTGAGACATCCGATTCAGCCCTTTCTCTGCATTTTTTCCTTCTCCTTTCCTCTTTCTCACTGCTCGTTTCCATTTCTCTCTCTCCCTCCCTCTGCTTCTGGTTGTTTCATTCTAAAATAATGTATGTTAGTTATTCTGTTAGGAATTTCAGGGAAACTCGTTGCCTCCTTTGTCTCCCATTATTTGTAGACATCCACGACTTTAACTTTGTTCAATCCAACAGGGATAAACGATGAGAGTCTACAAAGCGCTGAACCTTATAAATATGAAGCAAGCTGCAACATTTCATCATGCGCATATGAAAATTTTGACGATGGATGTCTATAATTACGTTTTTCTCTATTTTTCAATGCCTCACTATTTTTTGCACAACAGGGGATTCTGATCCCTCTATACCAACACATGAAATTTATATCGAACGTACCTCTTTCATGTATAAAAAATTGTAAGATATATATATATATATATATATATATATATATATTTAAATTTAAATTAAATAGTATATAATATTATAAATAATTAAATTTAAATTTAAATATAAATTGAAATAATTTAATTTGACTTATACAAATTTTATAAATCCCACTCATAAAAGAATCAAATTAAATCTAAGTTACAAAACATGAATTTAAATAAGAGAAAATAACCTCAGTGACCAAAAATGCCTTATAATATACGATTTTAACCAATTTTTTTTGGATTTGTCAAAATGACCAACTAAATCGCAATGTGATCGATAATTCGCAACGCGATCTCCGGTATCGTAAATCAGTTTGCAGATTCGCAACGCGATTCTGACTATCGCATTGCGATTTCCCAAATTCGCGTTGCGATTTTCCTAATTCGCAATGCGAATACGTAAATCGCAACGCGAATTTGGAAAATCGCATTGCGATTACGTAAAATCGCAATGCGAATATGTAAATCACAATGCGATTTACATAGCGCCATTCGTATTAACGCGTATTTTTTTTCAAATTCCAAACACGAATATATTAATATATCGGAACACTGAACCGTCCACAGTATATCCCGTAATCGCAATTCATAACCTAAAACCCTAAATCACAACTCAGTCTCATCTCCATCTTTCACTCTCTAAGGCGACATCCGTCCCCATCTCCGACGAAATCAGTCCCCACGACGATAACAATCTCCATCTCCGGCGAAATCATTCACGGTCAGAAATGGAAAATCAACAAAATCAACCACCGAGGGTTAGATTTTTTTTAATTATTTTTATTTTGAAATTTTTGCATTATTATTAGGTTTTTCATATTGAAATTGATGATAAGTTTACTGGTGTTTTCAATAATAGATTAATCATTTCACTTAGATTGCTTATTATATTCATTCGATTGCTGCCAATACTGCTAAACTGTTTAGTCTTTAACCCTGTGAAGTTAATATTTGTCTTTGTTTTGTCTTTTGGTTGAAGTAATGCAATCCATTCAAGTTTCTTTCAATTTTAATATTTGAAACCGAGAATGACTATCGCAACGAGTGAATCGCAACGCGAAAATGACTATCGCAATGCGAATTTGACTATCGCAACGAGAGAATCGCAATGCGATTTTTATTTTGCGTTGCGATAGTCAAATTCGCGTTGCGATAGTCATTTTCGTGTTGCGATTTTCATTTTCGTGTTGCGATTTAAAGTTTCAGAAACTATTCTTCTTCTGCAAATTAAAATTTGAATGAATTGCATTACTTTAACCAAAAAACAAATACTAAATTCACAGTGTTGCAAATTTAAATTTGAAGAATAAACTACTATTATTTATGTTTATTGTTCATATCTTCACAGTGTAGTTTTTGGTATATCTAAATTGGTATGTTTATTGTTTTTGCAGAACTTTTATTCGGCTCAATTGACCTTAAGAAATAAAGTAAGCCTGGCCAAAACAATTACGTCGAAGCTTTCACCTACACAAAGAAAAATATTTGAGGATACTTGCTTCGGGCCATGGCTGAAAGTACAACATCCGGGTGGAGATGCTATGTTGACCCATCTGTTTCTTCAAACCATGACTAGCGATCTACCAGAGACTATACAACGTCGTGATGAAGAGATATGGTTTGATTTTCCACCGGCGTATACGTGTTTTGGGCGGGAGGAGTTTTGCTTAATCACCGGTCTATGCTTCGGACACGATGATGTAGATCGGTACACTAGACATATTACCCGCCTATCATGGTTTTCCCGGGTTTTTCCTAAACAGTCAACGGAGAAGTTGAATTTACACGTGGAAGACTTGATGAGATTATTGAATAAGAAAGATGGTTTTACTCGGATGGATGACATCGATGTTGTCCGAGTATACCTTCTAATACTTTTGCAAGCTGGCTTTTTAGGCAGATAGGCCCGACAACCTATTCCTAATGATCTAATTAAATTGGTAGAGGACCTAAATGCATGGAACCTGTTTCCGTGGGGTTCGTATCTATGGAGAGCTACATGGAATAAGTTGTCGTCTGCCTTTAATGATCGAAAAAGTTTGTGTGGCGATGGTTCCAAATACACTTTGTCAGGCTTTATTTGGGCCTTTAAGGTAATAATTTTTATATAATGTTTCCAAAATTATAATTAATTCTTTAACAATTACTAATGTTTGTTATTATATTGTTTGTAGATTTGGATATTTAAGGCCTTTCTCGCCATGCAGACATATGCATTAAAAACTTCTAATGATATTCCTAGGGCTATTTCCTGGAAGAGGAAACGGTCCTTACAGCAATGGGAAGATTTACTACCGTATACTACAATAAATAATGTAAGTTAACACAAATACTATCATATGTTTATAAACAAGTTATTACTAGTACATGTTTAACTTTGTTTGAGCTTTTATATTGTTAGGAGGCCAACACTCCATTACAGAGGCTGACACCCACGGAAGCTGAGCTTGCCACTGATTGGTGGCAAGCTAGTAAGCTTTTTTTTGATGGCACGGATGATGAGCAGCCACCACTTCGAGAGCCATCACCTGATCGACCCGAATATACATCTCCACAACGAGAGTCATCACATATTCTGTCACATCATTGAGACTCTTCTCCACCATCACCTCATGATAGGCGACCGGCAAAGATGCCACGACGTTTATCTCCCTGTTCTCCACCTCCACGGGATGAGTTAGGGGAGTTACGTAATGAGGTCAATGCCTTGCGTGAGGAGGTCGGTACTTTACGCGATGACAATGGTGCATGGCGTGTTAAGGTGTCTACTTTACGTGGTGGGGTAGCAGCTCTACATGAGATTGTAGCATCGTTGCAGAACGAGGTTCATACTCTACGCAATGAGGTAAGTTTAATATTTTTCATATTTAACTTGATGATAAATTTACTCGTAATTTCACTTAGATTGCTTAGTAAATTCATTCGGTTGCTGCCAATGCTGTTTAACTGTTTATTCTTTAACCCTGTGAAGTTAGTATTTGTTTTTGGTTGTCTTTGGTTGAAGTAATGCAATCCATTCAAGTTTCAATTTGCAGAAGAAGAATAGTTTACTATCGCAATGCGAAAATGACTATCGCAATGCGAAAATGACTATCGCAACGAGAGAATCGCAATGCGAAAATGACTATCGCAATGCGAAAATGATTGCGATTCTCTCGTTGCGATAGTCAAATTCGCATTGCGATAGTCATTTTCGCGTTGCGATTTTCATTTCGCATTGCGATTCTCTCGTTGCGATAGTCATTTTCGCGTTGCGATAGTCATTTTCACGTTGCGATAGTCATTTTCGCGTTGCTATAGTCATTTGCAGATTCTATTCTTCTTCTGCAAATTGAAACTTGAATGAATTACATTACTTCAACCAAAAGACAAATACTAACT